CGGAGTTTTAGTTATTTTTAAATTTTAATGACCTCTCGCCTTTCGTTCTAAAGTCAAATTAAACGTAGAAAACAATCACCCCTTCCTCCGAAAGAGGTTTCTTGTCAGCGTAACCATTTTAAAAAAGCGTTCTTCCGAAATTCATTCAAAAACTTGCTAGTTTCACTTTGATTTTTTAAACTCAAGTAGGATAACTCTGTTCGCAAAAGATGCGCTTTTGTGAAGAGGGCGCCACCGAATTTTGAGGAAACTTTTTTAATTGGCTCAAAGAGAGACGTGGCCACTCTTGTTATGTAGACTCTTTGTCTCAGCTTCGCTATGATATCGATATATTTTCGATATTTTGATTTCGATATGCCCACCACTAATATTTGGCAGATCACAACTTCGCCTTTCGGTCCGTTGGTTCAAGAATGGTTAACGAGACGCAGAAAATAAAAGCGTTTTATCAGATCATTCTGGGGTTAATGCGCTGAAAATAGAACGCATTTCTTACAAAGGTGATATGATAAAACGCATTCTTCTTTTTTTTTTGCTTGTCTTTAGCTCAAATTCGATGGAATTTAGTTTAGTCATGGTAAATGAGATACATCCTCAAGTGAGATAGTCAAACAAAAGCAACATTGCTATTTACTTGTTTGTTTGATTAGCAAAAAACACTAAATCGCGATAATCTCGTAACCTTGATTTTGAGAAAAATGCGTTTTATCAGATCACGTCTGAGCTGCTGGCCTGTGACCCAGGCTAGGCGCCTGGTCCGCAGAAGCTGACAGTGGGCCATATAAGCAAAGATAGTACAGCCTACGTAGGCTGTACTATCTTTGCTATAAGAACGTACAGACTGTGGTGCCCCATAACACTTGCCTCTACACACCATTACAAGCAGTTTTTTTTCGGGCAAGTACCAAACTACGGCCTATTTATCGCTTATCATAACACACATGAAGAAAAAAAACAGTACGTGGTTTGTGCTAACATTTAGCCTCACGACAGAGGCAACAATGAGTGGCTTATGAAGCCACTCTCTTGACCACTTGATGTGTATTTTGCCTCGTCTATTATTAATTAGGCCGGAGAACTATTTGAAACCTTTTGCTCTACACATTTGAGTAAGCAAATTGTGCGATTTCCTCTGCCAGTGAACCAAGATCAAAATTTGTTCAAATCTCTCCACCTGTTATTTCGGAAGAGAGTTTACGAAGGATGTGACGTGGTAAAGCAGCTGAAGTAGGCCTAAAGGGAACGGACAGATAAAGGACAGGTAAGAGAGTAAGAGGGAAAACCCATATAAAGGCGATTAAACTGAGCATGAAACATGTACTTTGCGTATCTGTACCTCCTACCCAACAAGAAACACCCCC